GAGAGAGAGAGAGAGAGAGAGAGAGAGAGAGAGAGAGAGAGAAACAGACAGACAGAGACAGAGAGACAGAGACAGAGATACACACACAGAGAGACAGAAAGAAACATACACAGAGAGAATTTTCTTCTAATTTTTAAAGCAAATCCTAACTTGAATCAACAGGAACCTAGTAACAGTGTTGTCTATAGTCACAGATAAAAAGAGGAAAAGCTGCTCTTATTTTGTGAAGCCAGTGGTATTTGCTGGACTGGCACACTGGGAACATAAAGGATAGTGCATAATGTGGGAAGACAGCAATCTTCCTCAGTGGTTTCTGGATTGACTACACTATTAAGCAGGACTAAAGTCCCATGTTAAAGACAACCTTTCCCATTCTCTCTACAGTGACTTTATTGTCAGATAACACTGGAAACTACTGGGTAGAGGCTTTTTGGTTAGATTTATCCAGCTGTTCTTATCCTAGTTCTTTGTGACTCACCAGCTCTAGCTGTCTCTTCAGAAGATATTATGGATAAAGTCTTTGTCCTTAAAATATGTCAGCAGTAGGGCTCCTAGGCTTTCAGGAACATAAACCTCATTACACAGAAGAGGAGATATTATGTTCATTCAGGATGGCTCTTCTAATTCCAGATGGTTCTGTTCAGCCTTATACCACTTACCTCTGCACAAGTCCTCGATTTATCCACTCACTGTCTCTGTACATCTCTGGCATAAGGATCTGTTTGGCATAGAGTCAGCCATTCTGGAATCATCTGGAATCATTTGAGGATGGAAGAGAAGAGAAGGACACATTGGAACAAATGTCCAGGATTCCCCAAGAGCTCAGTGTTTAGGACTGCAATTAATTATCAAAAGGAGTTTTATCTCCTGAAAACTAGTTTTAGAAGAGAGTGGTGGTGGTAGGGATCATTTCTCACCAGGGACATGCCTCATAATCTCTTAGTGATATAGATACAAACAAATCCACAATGAAGATTAATCACCACAAGAGGAATCTGGAAACATTCTTTTTCCTGTTCCTAGCCAGACGCACTCTTTAAAATGCAATGACAAATTCTATCCCATTTACCTCAGTCTTTGTCTGAGGAATGTGCGATTGTTTTGACCACTGATGTGGACTGGGAATGAAGCGAGAGATTTTGCACATTGTACAGCCATAGTGTCTCTAGAATTACCAACAATCTCTGAGTTTTTCATTCACCTCTGTTTCCCTGTTCTACCAAACCCTTAAGTCTATTGTCTCCACTTTCAACTGAACTTTCAGATCTGTGCTGCTCATCCATGTGAGGAGAACAAGATAGTCAAACACATTCCGTTCACCCAATATGTAAGGACATTCCATTTTCATATCTGATAAAGCACAATGGAAGACTTACCCATTCCTTGCCTTTGTTGCTCCCTGCAATTAAAGGAGCATAAAATGAGTAGAACAGAGAGCAAGTTCCACAACTGAATCTGAATCAAATTCACTTTAGGGAGATAATGATCTAATGTCTTCAATTTTCCACCTCCTGGATAGTTGTGCCACTATAAGAAAACTGGATCATCAAGTTTTGAGGTCAAGAGGTGTTGTAGATATATCACGATTAGATTGGTTAGCAGCAGTTACCTTGTATTAGCTGCATTTTCCTCATTAAGGAAGTGACTCCATCATATTGGCCTGGAGGCAAGTGATGGGCATTTTTAAAGATTAATTTTGATGTGGGTAGGCCTTGCCCACTCTATGTGGTGGCATCCATAGACAGGTGGTCCTGGAGAGTGTAAGAAAGGAGAATGAGGAAGCCAGGGGGAACAAGCCTGTAAAAGAACTCTTCAGTCCTGCCTCCAGATTCCTGCCTTGAGTTCCTATTTCTGTTCATTTTGTGATGGACTGTAAGATGAAATAAACCTTTTCTCCCCAAGTTGATTATGGTTATAGTTTTTATTACAGCAATAAAAATCTAACTAAGAAAGAAATTGGTATCATGTTCAGAGAATAGTGCTGTCACAGACCTGACCATATTTTTGTAGGGTAATCAAAAGTCTTTGGAACTTTGGGTTGGATAAACCTTTGAATCCTGAATGGGCTATTCAATGGGAGGTTGGGAGATAATGGTGAACAATGCAGATGATAGAGACCTGGCTTGTGAAATTTCAGAGGGAAGCAAAGACTGTATCAGGGTTGTTCCTGTAATATTTTGTATTAAGAATTGATGGAAGCAAACTGGCCTCCCTGGGTCAGTAGAAGCGGGTCAGCTAGGGCTGAAGAATTAGTTGTGTTTATTTGGCAGGAGACCAGCATCACCTAGGCAAACCTACTGGGAAGTGCTTCCCCAGGGTCAGCTGTGTGTAAGCTATGTGTGCTGTGAATGGTGTAACCCAAGAAATGTAGTTGCCCAAGGCCTGTAGAGCCCAGAAGATCATGAGTGAATCCCAGGTGTGGAATACTGTATTACAGGGTATTATTTATACTGCTGGACATTGGTTTTGGTTTGCTTTGATTATGGCAGAGCTCTGTTATTTTCCTTTTGAAGTAGAAAGTATTTAATATATATATATATATATATATATATATATATATATGAATCTACAGTTATGAGGACTTGTCTATTTTAGAGAGACATTGGGCTTTTAAAGAGACATTGCATTTTAAAAGAAAGCTTGGACTTTCAAAGTGTTATAAAGACAGTGGGACTTTCAAAGTTATACTTTGTTTTATATTCTGATATTAATATTAACGTGACATACTGGAGACACACAAAAAATGAAAGTTTATGGTTTAGTAGAGATGTGATTGTGTTGAGGTGACAAGGTATTAGTTATATTGTATTTTTTTTCAACTTGACATAAGCTAGAATCATCTGAGAAGAGGGAACTTCAGTTAAGAAAATGCCTCAATCAGTGGGCCCATAGGCAAGCCCATGGAGTAGTTCTTGATTGATGATTGATGCATACATCCTTGCTCAGTCTCTTACTGGTAGTGCCATCCATAGGCAGATGATCCAGTAATGCATAAGAAAGCAAAATAAGCAACCCAGTAGGCAGCATTTCACCACGGACTCTTGTCTTAGATTTCTACTGCCATAATAAATCGCCATGACCAAAAGCAACTTGGGGAGAGAAGAGTTTATTTCATCTTCCAGTCCTTTATGAAGGAAAATTGGGTCAAGATCTTAGGGCAGGAGCCTGGGGACAAGAACTGGAGCAGAAACCATAGAGGACTGCTGCTTACTTGTTTGTTCCTCATGTCTTGTTCAGCCTGCTTTCTTGTATAGCCCAGGAATATCTGCCCGAGGATGGCACCATGCCCAGTGGGCACAACCCACTCGTATTAATCATTAATCAATAAAATACCCTACAGATCTGCATACCAGAAATCTGAAGGAGGCATTTTCTCAGTTGAGATTACTCTTGTCAGATAACTCTAGATTGTGTCAAGTTTACAAAAAACCAACAGAACAATTAATCTTTTGTCAATGTGACACAATGAATTAACTTTAAACATAACACTTCATTTTTAACTTATCTCCAAGAGCTCAACAGTGTCACAACATAAAACACAAGTAACATAAAACTGTCAGCCTTTAAAAAAGTGCAAACATTATAAAAAGGGTATTTTCAAAATAACCAACCTGTCTTTTGAATTCACAGCACACATTGCACTTCTCAGTTGCTGATGTCCTTGGAAGTCTTCCCATAGTATTGGTATCTCCATTATGTGGTGTTCTCCACTGGAACTGAGGCCTCTCCTGGCCTCTCTTCAGGAGCTTTAGCCCTGCCACACAGTGGCAAGCTGCAGCTGCTCTCCATGATGGCTTCATTCCTTTAAAGCCAGTACCATGTGGGTGACTTTTATACAATACCAAATTTGACTTTCAACATGAGAGGCAGCCTTGGCCACCGTGGACCACAGCTATTCTGTGCTGACTTTAAGGAAATATTTTCCCAAAGATTTGCCACAGTGATGTTGTATAACTTCATCTAATCACAACTGATTCCTCAGACCCAGCTGACCAGTACCACCAGTCCCATTAAAGAAAAGGTTTACTTCAATGGTACTGTTCTCTTGTTCACCACACTTTACAGTTGAAGATGAGGAAAACCAAAGATTTTTAATTTAAAAACTACACAAATCGTCCTGATAGAGTCTATGCTTCTTTCTGTACTTTTACAAGCCAGGCCTCCACAACTTGCATCTCCTTCAGCTTTGCTATCTTTCCACAGACCATAATATCCCATTATCATTAAGCACTCAATCTCTTTCCCTGCCTAAAATTCCAAAATCCTTCCAGAGTCTTCCCCAAACAGTGAACTTCGGTTGGGCACAGCGGTATCTGATGTACCAATTTCTGTCTTAGGTTTCTATTGCTGTGATAAAACCTCGTAACCAAAAGCAACATGGGGAAGAAAGGGTTTGTTTCACCTCACCGCTTACGGTTTTTCATGAAGGAAAGTCAGGGCAGGAATCTGGAGGCTGGAACTAAAGCAGAACCCACAGAGGAATGCTGCTTATTGGTTTTCTCCATTTGCTTGCTCAGCCTGCTTTTTTATATAACCCGGTATCACCTGCCTGGGGCTGGCACCACTCTCTGTGGACTGAGCCCTCTCATATTAATAATAACAAACCACCCTTCTAATCAGTTATTGAGAAAAGACCCTATAGACTTTCCTACAGGAATTCTGATAGAGGCATTTTTCTCAATTGAGGTTTATCTTTCTGGATTTTTCTAGGTTGTGTCCAGTAGACAAAAAACTAAACAGGACACCACTGCCCTGGTGAAATAGCTATGGTGTAAGCAGTGTATTGATCCTGGAATTCCCTGAGTCCTGTCTGAGTTAAAGTGCTACTTTCAAAGGCTAGTTCAGGGTTTGGAGTCTGTCCTCAACCAAGATTCCAGTGATTACCTGCAGCCTCTGTGTCCTCATAGGGACTGTAAAGTTTTTAAAATAATGAGGTTTCCAGGAGAGCAGAGGCAGTGTTCACAATTGTTCAGCAAAGAACATCCTTCACAACTCAGCAAATCATTTAGTGGATTTATTGTCTAATAGCCACATAAGAACAAACGATACACGATGGTTTTCCATTCTGATGCTGGAGAAGTCTCTAGTCTGAAGTAAAAATGAAACTTAAGGAAGGATCAGAAGTAAGATGAGGAAGACAGGAAGGAGCCATAAGATAATCTGAGGGTTCTTTAGTACCATTCATCAATTGGTACTCTGATGTCATTGCAAAAGTCGTAGGTATCACAGCAACTTGTCAATACTGAATGATCACCGTACTCATAATCACTTATTTTACAGTTTTTCCAGCACCCAGAATATCCATCTGTTGGATCATTCACTGTGAGAGATAAAAATAGAGTCAATATATTGTTTTTGGATGAAGCAAGCCACAAATCCAAGTAAAAGTGAACCAAGAGTATGTTTAATGACAAACTATTTCTGGTTTTTTGAGACAGGGTTTCTCTGTGTAGCTTTGTGTCTTTCCTGCACCTCACTTTGTAGACCAAGCTGGCCTCAAACTCACAGAGATCCACCTGCCTCTGCCTCCTGAGTGCTAGGATTAAAGACGTGCACCACCACCGCCTGGCTAATGACAAACTATTTCTCTATAATATCTATTAGCCCCACACTGGCTTGATATTGTAAATATTGAAGCAAACAGTGGCTGCTCCCTTTCAGGCAGGCAGGCAAAATGCACTTGCTAACCATTTGCTGGATTCCAGGCTCTGCAGAGATCTTGAGTTCAAATGATTGTATTCATAGTGGTACCATATCATAGGAAGGCATTTGAGCACTGAAGAGAAAGAAGCATGGCCGTTGGTCTTCCATATTAACTAAATTCACCACTTACCACTGTGAGGAAGAGCCCAGATTCTAGTAATCATACAAGATTCACCATCTTCTGCAATGCACGTTTTTACCTCATGTTTACATTTCTTATTGAAGTAAGATGAACATTGTTTACAACGGAGAGCTAAAGCTGCAAGCAATAAAGAGAAAGACTGTGCTGAAAGGAGGGAGACACCCAAGCTCCCAGGCAGCTTGACTTCATCAAGGTTTTGCCTTACAGGTAAGTACCAGGCAGCAGCATGTTTTAAACCATGAACAGGATAGGACAAATGGATGATCACATCCCCTCCCTATAGAAGCTAAGGAAAAACAGGTATGGAGACTGAGGATTCTCTACAGAACTACACTGCCTTTGGCTCATTTTCTACCTTACCAGTTGCTGTAGGTAGAGGGAAGAGCACAGAGTTTCCCTGGAGCTGCCAGAGTTGGGGCTAAACTCTAGGTTCCGATTAGGGTGCAGTCCTCAGGTTACTGCAATTCCTCACTCCACAGGCTAAGTCATCATTCAGGGAATATAGAAAACATAGAGGCCATGTCAGGTCTCTAAAGAAGTACAGCTTAAAGAAAGACCCATACAAGTCCAAACAGAAGTTGGGTGGTCAGGACTGGGGCTTCTCCTTGAAACTGGACATTGTTCCTCAGAAGCCCCATTTAAGCTCACAGACCCAAAAATCAAAAGTTTTACTGAAACTATGTCAAGGTTTAGACTCAGTTGATCCCTTAGCTGTTATGAGACTATTCTCCCAATATTTACCAGTTTGTATGCAGAGCAGCAGAACAATGCCCAGCTCCTGTAAGTTTCCCATTGAGGATCCACTAACTTCTGCAGCAGGGGTGGAAAAAATGACTTGAGCTAGACGATGGCCTAGGGCTACTAAGTAGCCAATAATTTTATAACCCTCTTCATTGGGCAATATCAGCCAGAAAGGCAAAACCAGATCTGATCTAAGTTGTGGGAACCTGGCAAGTTTCCAGCTCCTTCTTCAATGACCTCTTTCTTTCCTTCTTCCTCTTCAGATCTCTGGCTTTAGGTTTCCAAAACTCTAAACAACCACAGAAGTAATCCCACCACCAGAATTTATCTGTACAGTATGCAGAACATGTAGTTCACATAGCCAATGTGTATGGGGATTCTTTTTTTTTTTCATTTTTTTTTATTTAAGAAAATTTCTACTCATCCTACATATCACCCACAGATCCCACCTCCTCCCTCCTCCAACCCCCATGTCTTCCTCCCATGTATCCCCATCCCTACATCTTCCAAATCAAAGTCTCCTATGGGGAGTCAGCAGAGCCAGGCACCCCAAGCCAAGGCAGGTCCAAGCCCCTTTTCACTGCACCAAGGTTGCACAAGGTGCCACACCGCAGGCACCGGGTTCCTAAAAGCCTGCCCATGTACCAGGGATGAATCCTGATCCCTCTGCCTGGGTGTCACTGTATGGGACTTCTTGAAGACATTTGTAAATAATCCCTTTTTCCAATCACAGAAAAGATTGATCAATCAGAAAGAAGAAAGTGGAATGTCACCACAAAGTGAGCTGTTACCACCAGAGACACCATATACAAATTCATGAGGGTCCTAATACAGAAAGTCTCAACTAGATTTTGAAGATAGTATAGTTTAGAGAATAGAAGACAGTGTTTCATTAAGATCCATACCTCACTGAGGAACAACCAGTGTTTGTCATCATACTGAAAGGAGAAATGGTGGCCCTTGAAGCTCACAAGTTCTATTGTCTTCAGTGTTGGCCCATTCATACTTGAAAATATAGTATTCTCAAGGTGGATTTTTTTTTAACCCTGGATGAAAACTATCTGGGAAGAGGTATATTCCTGCTCAAAGCCACTCCCAGATACACCTCAAAGAAAAGCTTCTATTGCAGAGTGTTTTTCCCCTTTTTATTCATTTTTCAAAGAAACGGGGAGTACACCACTCTCCCTATTTTAAAGACAATAAATCAGAACTAAGCAGATAAACAGTACCCTTTAAAAGACAGTGCTAAACAAAAAGAAAACATTGATCTCCTTTGAAACTTGGTTTGCACGAATTCCTCATCTTCCCCATGGGAAAGGTACACACTACTTAATTAAGCCCAGAGCAACACAAGTTTGAATGCTCACTTCTTTAATTATTACTATTATTATTAAGAAAATTTCTATTTATTTTGCATATCAACCACAGATCCCCCTCTCCTCCCACCTCCCATCCCCCAGTACCCCTCTCAACCCACCCCCGATTTTCACCTCCTCCAAGGCAAGGCCTTCCATGGGGAGTCAGCAGAGCCTGGCACATTCAGTTGAGGCAGGTCTAATCCCCTCCCCTCTGCACCAAGGCTGCGCAAAGTGTCCCCACCATAGGCACTGGGCTCCAAAAAGCCCACTCATGCACCCAGGACAGATCCCGATCTTACTGCCAGGGCACCCCCTAAACAGTTCAACCTACAAAACTGTCTCCCCTATTCAGGGGGTCTAGTTCAGTCCCCTGTGGGCTCCACAGCTATTGGTCCACAGTTCATGAGTTTTCACTAGTTTGGCCTGGCTGTCTCTGTATGTTT